AGATACCAACTAGGCTTTTCCTTTACATGATGCTCTATAATTCACACCCAAAAGCTATGCCGTATTGACACAGGGATGAAGGGATTAACCAACTAAATTATCAAAACCCCACGTTAATCTTTGTCATTTATATAGTCCAAGGTTTAAGTGTGTTGTATTTTTTTTTTTTTATTATTTTTTTTTTTTTTATTGAGTAGCGGTCTGACCCATTGGATACTTTGATATTAAGATAATCTTATAATGTATCGTTTAAGGTGAACATTTTCATTGGTTTATATTTTTGTTCTTTCAAAATTGATGTTATCTATTTTCTTCTGTTTAAATTTCTTGTTTTTTTTTTATCAATTCATCCCTTTGTATTCTTACTAATCTTTCCTTTAAGGATTCTTTTTCCTTTCTTCTTCTTTCTTTTTTTTTAATGAATCATTTTTCATTTGTGTTATTGTTCCTCCTTCTATGTGTGTTCGTTTTTCAACCTTTCTTTAGGTTACTCGTGAGCCATAAAAATCATGGTAATGTATATATGTGCGTGTGTGTGTGTGTGTACACACACACCACACACACACACACAACATACACACACACACACACACCACACACACCACACACACACACACACACACACACACACACACCACACACAACACAAAACACCACACACATATATATATATTATATATATATATATATATAATATATAATATATATATATATATTATATATATATATAATATCTCTCTCTCTCTCTCTTCTCTCTCTCTCTCTCTCTCTCTCTCTCTCTCTCTCTCTCTCTCTCTCTCTCTCTTACTTCATATCTAACCCTCTCAGTCTATCTGCCCATCAATCCAGCTAACTACCTTTCTACCTGTCAATATACCCCTCGGCTCCCAACCCCAGTATCCGCTCCCTCTCCATATGTATATATACGTCTATTCCCAGCGCGGTGAGTCATATACCACGGACCGGAAAAACCACGGGTGTCGTTGATATTACATGCCGTCCGCCGCATGGGGTCGACCGGCTTCATCTAAAAGGAACATTCGCTGTCGCTCTCCATGATGGTAATTGGGAAATGGTGGGATAAAGAGAGGGGAATGAGGGAGGTAAGAGAAAGAAAGGGTGGGAGGGGAAAAGGAGGGGGGTGGGAGGAAGGGGGGATAGAGAGAGGGGTGAGCGAGGTAAGAGAAAGAAAGGGTGGGAAGGGGAAAATGGAGGGGGGTGGGAGAAGGGGTGGGTTAGAGAGAGAGGGTAAGGGAGGTAAGAGAAAGAAAGGGTGGGAAGGGAAAAATGGAGAGGGGATGGGAGGAAGGGAGTGGGTTAGAGAGAGGGTGAGGGAGGTAAGAGAAAGAAAGGGTGGGAAGGGAATGAGAGGAAGAGGGGGTGGGAGAAAGTGGGGAGGGATAAAGAGAGGGGATGAGGGAGGTAAGAGAAAGAAAGGGAGGTAAGAGAAAGAAAGGGAGAGGGGATGGGAGAAAGAGAGATGAGTTAGAGAGAGAGGGTGAGGGAGGTAAGAGAAAAAAAGGGTAGAAGGAGAGAATGAGAGAAAGATAGAGAAGTAGAGACAGACAAGGACAGAGAACGAACAGCAAGTCAGAGAAAATGTATGAAAAGGAAAAAAGGATCAGGGGAGAGAAAGAGGTAGACAGATGAATATGGAGAGAGAGAAAAAAAGAGAAAGATAATTAGAATGAGAGAGACACAGAGGAAGAAGAGAGAGGGGGGGCTAAAAGCAATTAAAATTTACAATAAGGAAAAAGAAATAATCAAAAAGAGAAAGAATGAGTAAGAGACAGAGAAATTTTAAACATCAAATCCCCTTAATTACAATCGGTGTTTCTGATCCTTCCTAATCACTTTCCAGGTAGATCTATTAGCAATAAATAATAAATCTATTAATTAAAAGGATCTTAATTAATTCTCGGAGCAATAGAATGAAAAATGTATATGAATAAAACTTAACTTTTTCATATAACATTTTTCCACTTTTCCAGCACCTATCATAGTAGATATTGTTCAACAGGAATAGAAATCATAAGCTTGACCTTGGAAGATAAGGACAAGCGTCTAAAAAACAAAAACAAAAACAAAAATATCAAAGAGAACAGGCAAAGGGAAGCGACCTGACATACAGACACATATACATATATACACGTGTGTGTGGTTTTGTGTCTATACATATAGATTGATTGAGATAGAGAGAGAAGAGAAGAGAGAGTGACAGAGAGAAAGAGAGAAAGAATATAAAAAGAAGAGAGGACTGTGAGAGAGAGAGAAAGAAAGAGAGTGGATAGAGAGAGACAAGAGAAAGAGAAGTAAGGAGAGAGAAAGAGAGAGAAAGGGAGAAAATAAAGAGAGTGACATAAGAGAGAGGAGAGAAAGAAAGAGAGTGGAAGAGAGGGAGGGGAGAGAAGAGAGAGAAAGAAAGAAAGAAGAGAGAGAGAGAGAGAGAGAGAGAGAGAAAGAAAGAAAGAAAGAGAGTAACGAAGGAGAAAAGAAAAAG